CCCCAGTGGCCTAATGGATAAGGTACTGGCCTCCTAAGCCAGGGATTGTGGGTTCAAGTCCCAGCTGGGGTGTCCAAAATGTCTCTAAGAAAGTCATTGTTTCTTGTTTGCCATTATCTGTGTGATCTCATAGATTACAGAAGTGAATTGGTTTGACTGCAAGACCTGTGTTCTTATTGTTATGATCAGTTTTAGGACCTTTATCTGTCAAAGTTCAACAACTTTGTTGACTTCGGTCACATAGTGACCTAATTAATAAGGCACTGGCCTCCTAAGCCAGGGAATGTGGGTTTAGTTCCATCTGGGGTGTCCTTTCTTTCTTGACAAAAGTCCTTATTTCTTGTTTGCCATTTTCAGCATGATCTCGTAGAATACAGAAGTCCATTGTGTCCCAGTGAGCTAAAGGAAGAAACATTTTAAGCTTTTGACCTTCTAAGTCAGGGATTTTTCTTCAAATCTGTTTTGGAATGATTAGTCAGAAGTTAAAGTAATGCACAGTTCAATGTATTGGTTAACATTACAAAAGGTTGATTGGTTAAAAAGCAAGAACACTGTTTCGTGATCAAGTTGTAGGATTTTTACAAGGCGAGCTCATTTTATCAGACTAATTATCAGTTCCCCAGACCTCTGTTCTTTTTTTATCGGTATTAGGACCTTTTGCTTGTCAAAGTACAACACACTTTTAATAATGCTGTGCCCCAGTTTGCTAATGGACGAGACATTCCAAGCCATTGGCCTTCTAAGGCAGGGATTGGTGGTTGAAGTCACTTCTGGGATTGTCAACAAGACGTTTGCTCTTTTGTGTGCCCCAATGACCTAATGGATAAGGCACTGGCCTCCTTAGCCAGTGATTGTGGGTTCAAGTCCCATCTGGGGTGTCAAAACTGTCTCAAAGAAAGTCATTGTTTCTTGTTTGCAATTATCAGTGTGACCTCAAAGAATACAGAAGTCCATTGGTTTGACTGCAAGACCTGTGTTCCTATTGTTATAATCCGTTTTAGAACCTTTATCTGTCATAGTTCAACAACTTTGGTGACTTCGGTGACCCAGTGACCTAATTAATAAGGCACTGGCCTCCTTAGCCAGGGATTGTGGGTTTAAGTTCAAACTGTGTTGTCCTTTCTTTCTTTACAAAAGTCCTTATTTCGTGTTAGTCATTTTCAGCGTGATCTAGTAGCATACAGAAGTCCATTGTGTCCCAGTGAGCTAAAGGAAGAAACATTGTAAGCCTTTGACCTTCTAAGTCAGGGATTTTTCTTCAAGTCTCCTTTGGAATGATTAGTCAGAAGTTAAAGTAATGCACAGTAAATATATTGGTTAACATTCTAATTTTATACTAAAAAAGGTTGATTGGTTAAAAAGCAAGAACACTGTTTCGTGATCAAGTTGTAGGATTTTTACAAGTCGAGCTCATTGTCTCAGACTAATTATCAGTTCCCTAGATCTCTGTTCTTTTTTTTATCAGTATTAGGACCTTTTGCTTGTCAAAGTATAAAATACTTATAATAATGCTGTGCCCCAATTTGCTAATGGAGGAGACATTCCAAGCCATTGGCCTTCTAAGGCAGGGATTGGTGGTTGAAGTCACTTGTGGGATTTTCAACAAGAGTTTATCTCTTTCGTGTGCCCCAGTGGCCTAATGGATAAGGCACTGGCCTCCTAAGCCAGGGATTGTGGGTTCAAGTCCCATCTGGGGTGTCTAAACTGTCTCAAAGAAAGTCATTGTTTCATGTTTGCAATTATCAGTGTTACCTTGTAGAATACAGAAGTCTATTGGTTTGACTGCAAGACCTGTATTCTTATTGTTATGATCAGTTTTAGGACCTTTATCTGTCAAAGTTCAACAACTTTGTTAACTTCGGTGACCCAGTGACCTAATTAATAAGGCACTGGCCTCCTAAGCCAGGGATTGTGGGTTTAAGTTTCAAATGGGGTGTCCTATCTTTCTTGACAAAAATTATTGTTTCTTGTTTGCCATTTTCATTGTGATCTCGTAGCATACAGAAGTCAATTGTGTCCCAGTGAGCTAAAGGATGAAAAATTGTAAGCCTTTGACCTTCTAAGTCAGGGATATTTCTTCAAGTCTCTTTTGGAATGATTAGTCAGAAGTTAAAGTAATGCACAGTTCAATGTATTGGTTAACATTCTAATTTTATACTACAAAAGGTTGATTGGTTAAAAAGCAAGAACACTGTTTCCTGATCAAGTTGTAGGATTTTTACAAGTCGAGCTCATTTTCTCAGACCAATTATCAGTTCCCCAGACCTCTGTTCTTTTTTTTTACCAGTATTAGGACCTTTTGCTTGTCAAAGTACAATATACTTGTAATAAGGCTTTGCCCCAGTTTGCTAATGGAGAAGATATTCCAAGAAATTGGCCTTCTAAGGCAGGGATTGGAGGTTGAAGTCACTAGTGGGATTGTCAATAAGAATTAATAAGCCCCATCTGGGGTGTCCTATCATTAGTGTGAGCTCGTGTATTTAGAGCCCATTGGTTTGACTGCAAGACCTCTGTTATGTTTGGTTTGATCAGTTTTAGGAACTTTATTTGTCAAAGTACAATATAATTCTAAAAATGCTGTGCCCCAGTGGCCTAATGGATAAGGCACTGGCCTCCTAAGCCAGGGATTGTGCGTTCAAGTCCCATCCGGGGTGTCCAAAAGGTCTCTAAGAAAGTCAATTTTCTTGTTTGCCATTATCAGTGTCATCTCATAGATTACAGAAGTGCATTGGTTTGACTGCAAGACCTGTGTTCTTATTGTTATGATCAGTTTTAGGACCTGTATCTGTCAAAGTTCAACAACTTTGTTGACTTCGGTCACACAGTGACCTAATTAATAAGGCACTGGCCTCCTAAGCCAGGGAATGTGGGTTTAGTTCCATCTGGGGTGTCCTTTCTTTCTTGACAAAAGTCCTTATTTCTTGTTTGCCATTTTCAACGTGATCTCGTAGCATACAGAAGTCCATTGTGTTCCAGTGAGCTAAAGGAAGAAACATTGTAAGCTTTTGACCTTCTAAGTCAGGGATTTTTCTTCAAGTCTGTTTTGGAATGATTAGTCGGAAGTTAAAGTAATGAACAGTTCAATGTATTGGTTAACATTACAAAAGGTTGATTGGTTAAAAAGCAAGAACACTGTTTCGTGATCAAGTTGTAGGATTTTTACAAGTCGAGCTCATTTTATCAGACTAATTATCAGTTCCCCAGATCTCTGTTCTTTTTTTTTTATCAGTATTAGGACCTTTTGCTTGTCAAAGTACAACACACTTTTAATAATGCTGTGCCCCAGTTTGCTAATGGAGGAGACATTCCAAGCTAATGGCCTTCTAAGGCAGGGATTGGTGGTTGAAGTCACTTCTGGGATTGTCAACAAGACGTTTGCTCTTTTGTGTGCCCCAATGACCTAATGGATAAGGCACTGGCCTCCTTAGCCAGTGATTGTGGGTTCAAGTCCCATCTGGGGTGTCAAAACTGTCTCAAAGAAAGTCATTGTTTCTTGTTTGCAATTATCAGTGTGACCTCAAAGAATACAGAAGTCCATTGGTTTGACTGCAAGACCTGTGTTCCTATTGTTATAATCTGTTTTAGAACCTTTATCTGTCATAGTTCAACAACTTTGGTGACTTCGGTGACCCAGTGACCTAATTAATAAGGCACTGGCCTCCTTAGCCAGGGATTGTGGGTTTAAGTTCCATCTGGGGTGTCCTTTCTTTCTTTACAAAAGTCCTTATTTCGTGTTTGCCATTTTCAGCGTGATCTCGTAGCATACAGAAGTCCATTGTGTCCCAGTGAGCTAAAGGAAGAAACATTGTAAGCCTTTGACCTTCTAAGTCAGGGATTTTCCTTCAAGTCTCCTTTGGAATGATTAGTCAATGCACAGTAAATATATTGGTTAACATTCTAATTTTATACTAAAAAAGGTTGATTGGTTAAAAAGCAGGAACACTGTTTCGTGATCAAGTTGTAGGATTTTTACAAGTCAAGCTCATTTTCTCAGACTAATTATCAGTTCCCCAGACCTCTGTTCTTTTTTTATCAGTATTAGGACCTTTTGCTTGTCAAAGTATAACATACTTTTAATAATGCTGTGCCCCAGTTTGCTAATGGAGGAGACATTCCAAGCCATTGGCCTTCTAAGGCAGGGATTGGTGGTTGAAGTCACTTGTGGGATTGTCAACAAGAGTTTATCCCTTTTGTGTGCCCCAGTGGCCTAATGGATAAGGCACTGGCCTCCTAAGCCAGGGATTGTGGGTTCAAGTCCCATCTGGGGTGTCTAAACTGTCTCAAAGAAAGGCATTGTTTCTTGTTTGCAATTATCAGTGTGACCTCGTAGAATACAGAAGTCTATTGGTTTGACTGCAAGACCTTTGTTCTTATTGTTATGATCAGTTTTAGGACCTTTATGTCAAAGTTCAACAACTTTGTTAACTTCGGTGACCCAGTGACCTAATTAATAAGGCACTGGCCTCCTAAGCCAGGGATTGTGGGTTTAAGTTTCAAATGGGGTGTCCTATCTTTCTTGACAAAAGTCATTGTTTCTTGTTTGCCATTTTCAGTGTGATCTCGTAGCATACAGAAGTCAATTGTGTCCCTTTGAGCTAAAGGATGAAACATTGTAAGGTTTTGACCTTCTAAGTCAGGGATTTTACTTCAAGTCTGTTTTGGAATGATTAGTCAGAAGTTAAAGTAATGCACAGTTCAATGTATTGGTTAACATTACAAAAGGTTGATTGGTTAAAAAGCAAGAACACTGTTTCGTGATCAAGTTGTAGGATTTTTACAAGGCGAGCTCATTTTATCAGACTAATTATCAGTTCCTCAGATCTCTGTTCTTTTTTATCAGTATTAGGACCTTTTGCTTGTCAAAGTACAACACACTTTTAATAATGCTGTGCCCCAGTTTGCTAATGGAGGAGACATTCCAAGCCATTGGCCTTCTAAGGCAGGGATTAATGGTTGAAGTCACTTCTGGGATTATCAACAAGACGTTTGCTCTTTTGTGTGCCCCAATGACCTAATGGATAAGGCACTGGCTTCCTTAGCCAGTGATTTCGGGGTCAAGTCCCATCTGGGGTGTCAAAACTGTTCAAAGAAAGTCATTGTTTCTTGTTTGCAATTATCAGTGTGACCTCGAAGAATACAGAAGTCCATTGGTTTGACTGCAAGACCTGTGTTCTTATTGTTATAATCCGTTTTAGGACCTTTATCTGTCAAAATTCAACAACTTTGGTGACTTCGGTGACCCAGTGACCTAATTAATAAGGCACTGGCCTCCTTAGCCAGGGATTGTGGGTTTACGTTCCATCTGGGGTGTCCTTTCTTTCTTTACAAAAGGCCTTATTTCGTGTTTGCCATTTTCAGCGTGATCTCGTAGCATACAGAAGTCCATTGTGTCCCAGTGAGCTAAAGGAAGAAACATTGTAAGCCTTTGACCTTCTAAGTCAGGGATTTTTCTTCAAGTCTCTTTTGGAATGATTAGTCAGAAGTTAAAGTAATGCACAGTAAATATATTGGTTAACATTCTAATTTTATACTAAAAAAGGTTGATTGGTTAAAAAGCAAGAACACTGTTTCGTGATCAAGTTGTAGGATTTTTACAAGTCGAGCTCATTGTCTCAGACTAATTATCAGTTCCCTAGATCTATGTTCTTTTTTTTATCAGTATTAGGACCTTTTGCTTGTCAAAGTATAAAATACTTTTAATAATGCTGTGCCCCAGTTTGCTAATGGAGGAGACATTCCAAGCCATTGGCCTTCTAAGGCAGGGATTGGTGGTTGAAGTCACTTGTGGGATTGTCAACAAGAGTTTACCTCTTTTGTGTGCCCCAGTGGCCTAATGGATAAGGCACTGGCCTCCTAAGCCAGGGATTGTGGGTTCAAGTCCCATCTGGGGTGTCTAAACTGTCTCAAAGAAAGTAATTGTTTCATGTTTGCAATTATCAGTGTTACCTTGTAGAATACAGAAGTCTATTGGTTTGACTGCAAGACCTGTGTTCTTATTGTTATGATCAGTTTTAGGACCTTTATCTGTCAAAGTTCAACAGCTTTGTAAGCTTCGGTGACCCAGTGGCCTATTTGATAAGGCACTGGCTCCTAAGCCAGGGATTGTGGGTTTAAGTTCCATTTGTGGTGTCCTATCTTTTTTGACAAAATCATTGTTTCTTGTTTGCTATTTTCAGTGTGACCACGTAGAATACAGAAGTCCATTGTGTCCCAGTGAGCTAAAGGATGAAACATTGTAAGCCTTTGACCTTCTAAGTCAGGGATATTTCTTCAAGTCTCTTTTGGAATGATTAGTCAGAAGTTAAAGTAATGCACAGTTCAATGTATTGGTTAACATTCTAATTTTATACTACAAAAGGTTGATTGGTTAAAAAGCAAGAACACTGTTTCCTGATCAAGTTGTAGGATTTTTACAAGTCGAGCTCATTTTCTCAGACCAATTATCAGTTCCCCAGACCTCTGTTCTTTTTTTTTTACCAGTATTATGACCTTTTGCTTGTCAAAGTACAACATACTTGTAATAATGCTGTGCCCCAGTTTGCTAATGGAGGAGATATTGCAAGACATTGGCCTTCTACGTCAGGGATTGGTGGTTAAAGTCACTTGTGGGATTGTCAATAAGAATCAATAAGTGCCATCTGGGGTGTCCTATCATTAGTGTGACCTCACGTATTTAGAGTCCATTGGTTTGACTGCAAGACCTCTGTTCTCTTTGGTTTGATCAGTTTTAGGAACTTTATTTGTCAAAGTACAATATATTTCTAACAATGCTGTGCCCCAGTGGCCTAATGGATAAGGCATTGGCCTCCTACGCCAGAGATTGTGGGTTCAAGTCCCATCTGGGGTGTTTTTAAGAAAGGATAAAACATTGTGGATGAAACATTGTAGATGAAACATTGTAGACAGTTTGTCTTTAAAAAAGTCATTGTTTCTATTTTGCCATTATCAGTGTGACCTCATAGATTACAGAAGTTCATTGGTTTGACAGCAAGACCTGTGTTCTTATTGTACTGATCAGTTTAAGGACCTTTATCCGTCAAAGTTCAACAACTTTGTTAACTTCGGTGACCCAGTGACCTAATTAATAAAGCACTGGCCTCCTAATCCAGGGATTGTGGGTTTTAGTCCCATCTGGGGTGTCCTATCTTTCTTGACAAAAGTCATTGTTTCTTGTTTGCCATATTCAGTGTGATCTCGTAGCATACAGACGTCCATTGTGTCCAGGTGAGCTAAAGGATGAAACATTGTAAGCCTTTGACCTTCTAAGTCAGGGATATTTCTTCAAGTCTCTTTTGGAATGGTCAGAGTTGAAGTAATGCGTTCAATGTATTGGTTAACATTCTAATTTTTATACTGAGGTTGATTGGTTAAAAGCAAAGAACACTGTGTTTCATTGATCAGGTTGTGCAGGATTTTTACAGAGTGGGAGCTCATTTTCTCCAGACCAATTATCAGTTCCCAGACCTCTGTTCTTTTTTTTTTACCAGTATTAGGACCTTTTGCTTGTCAAAATTACAACATACTTGTAATAGAAAGCCTTCCCAGTTTGCTAATGGAGAAGATATTGCAAGAAATTGGCCTTCTAAGGCAGGGATTGGAGGTTGAAGTCACTAGTGGGATTGTCAATAAGAATTAATAAGCCCCATCTGGGGTGTCCTATCATTAGTGTGAGCTCGTGTATTTAGAGCCCATTGGTTTGACTGCAAGACCTCTGTTATGTTTGGTTTGATCAAATTTAGGAACTTTATTTGTCAAAGTACAATATATTTCCACCAATGCAGTGCCCCAGTGGCCTAATGGATAAGGCACTGGCCTCCTATGCCAGGGATTATGGGTTCAAGTCCCATCTGGGGTGTCCAAAATGTCTCTTAGAAAGTCATTGTTTCTTGATTGCCATTATCAGTGTGATCTCATAGATTACAGAAGTGCATTGGTTTGACTGCAAGACCTGTGTTCTTATAGTTATGATCAGTTTTAGGACCTTTATCTGTAAAAGTTCAACAACTTTGTTGACTTCGGTCACACAGTGAACTAATTAATAAGGCATTGGCCTCCTAAGCCAGGGGCTGTGGGTTTAATTCCATCTGGGGTGTCCTTTCTTTCTTGAAAAAAGTCCTTATTTCTTGTTTGCCATTTTCAGCGTGATCTCGTAGCATACAGAAGTCCATTGTGTCCCAGTGAGCTAAAGGAAGAAACATTGTAAGCTTTTGACCTTCTAAGTCAGGGATTTTTCTTCAAGTCTCTTTTGGAATGATTAGTCAGAAGTTAAAGTAATGCACAGTTCAATGTATTGGTTAACATTATAATTTTATACTTCAAAAGGTTGATTGGTTAAAAAGCAAGAACACTGTTTCGTGATCAAGTTGTAGGATTTTTACAAGGCGAGCTCATTTTATCAGACTAATTATCAGTTCCCCAGACCTCTGTTCTTTTTTTTATCAGTATTAGGACCTTTTGCTTGTCAAAGTACAACATACTTGTAATAATGCTGTGCCCCAGTTTGCTAATGGAGAAGATATTGCAAGACATGGGCCTTCTAAGTCAGGGATTAGTGGTTAAAGTCACTTGTGGGATTGTCAATAAGAATCATTAAATGCCATCTGGGGTGTCCTATCATTAGTGTGACCTCATGTATTTAGAGTCCATTGGTTTAACTGCAAGACCTCTGTTCTCTTTGGTTTGATCAGTTTTAGGAACTTTATTTGTCAAAGTACAACATATTTGTAACACTGCTGTGCCCCAGTGGCCTTATTGATAAGGCATTGTCCTCCTAAGCCAGGGATTGTGGGTTCAAGTCCCATCTGGGGTCTCCAAACTGTCTTTACGAAAGTCATTGTTTCTATTTTGCCATTATCAGTGTGACCTCATAGATTACAGAAGTTCATTGGTTTGACAGCAAGACCTGTGTTCTTATTGTACTGATCAGTTTTAGGACCTTTATCCGTCAAAGTTCAACAACTTTGTTAACTTCGGTGACCCAGTGACCTAATTAATAAAGCACTGGCCTCCTAAGCCAGGGATTCTGGGTTTTAGTCCCATCTGGGGTGTCCTATCTTTCTTGACAAAAGTCATTGTTTCTTGTTTGCTATTTTCAGTGTGATCTCGTAGCATACAGAAGTCCATTGTGTCCCAGTGAGCTAAAGGATGAAACATTGTAAGCCTTTGACCTTCTAAGTCAGGGATTTTTCTTCAAGTCTCTTTTGGAATGATTAGTCAGAAGTTAAAGTAATGCACAGTTCAATGTATTGGTCAACATTCTAATTTTATACTACAAAAGGTTGATTGGTTAAAAAGCAGGAACACAGTTTCGTGATCAAGTTGTAGGATTTTTACAAGTCAAGCTCATTTTCTCAGACTAATTATCAGTTCCCCAGACCTCTGTTCTTTTTTTATCAGTATTAGGACCTTTTGCTTGTCAAAGTACAACGAACTTGTAATAAGGCTGTGCCCCAGTTTGCTAATGTAGAAGATATTGCAAGAAATTGGCCTTCTAAGGCAGGGATTGGAGGTTGAAGTCACTAGTGGGATTGTCAGTAAGAATTAATAAGCCCCATCTGGGGTGTCCTATCATTAGTGTGAGCTCGTGTATTTAGAGCCCATTGGTTTGACTGCAAGACCTCTGTTATGTTATGGAACTTTATTTGTCAAAGTACAATATATTTCTAACAATGCTGTGCCCCAGTGGCTTAATGGATAAGGTACTGGCCTCCTAAGCCAGGGATTGTGGATTCTAGTCCCATCTGGGGTGTCCAAAATGTCTCTAAGAAAGTCATTGTTACTTGTTTGCCATTATCAGTGTGACCTCATAGAATACAGAAGTCTATTGGTTTGACTGCAAGACCTTTGTTCTTATTGTTATGATCAGTTTTAGGACCTTTATCTGTCAAAGTTCAACAACTTTGTGTATTCGTGTATTTAGAGTCCATTGGTTTGACTGCAAGACCTCTGTTCTTTTTGGTTTGATCAGTTTTAGGAACTTTATTTGTGAAAGTACAACATATTTGTAACAATGCTGTGCCCCAGTGGCCTAATGGATAAGGCACTGGCCTCCTAAGCCAGGGATTGTGGTTTCA